CACTATTTTGACCCAAAAATCCAAATTTGAAGAAAATTGCCGACCCGAAGGTATACTGTAACCTTAATGTTATTTTAAGAATAGTTCCGGGTAATACTGGAGTTCTTTCAGTGAGATCACTGACTTTACAAGGCTAAGGGGAAGAAATTTTGATAACACAGTGTCCTTGCACTGTAGAGATTTGAGAAATTTGTAATGATCTATGACACTGGTTTGGACTCTTTATCGGCGTTTTGAACGCGCCTCCGTAAAGCTGATATAGACAGAAAGTGTTGTGTCATTTGTGGTTTGTCTCCGGTATGTCATTGAAGTATCGCAATTTTGTAAAGCGAAAAATAAAAGGAAGAAGATCAGGATGGACTTCTAAAACGGCGACAGGTTTGCAATTTGTAAAGCAAGGACTTACAAATCTAACTGCTTACTCTTTCCATGATAACTTGCAGGTTATAAACAATGAAAACTCAAGGTTTTATGGATTTATCCTTGATGGTAAGGCGTAGCGTATACGATTTTAAGCGGAACTTTACTTATGTCTTCCGGTGGCGCATGGGAGCGGGTTTAAAATGTATGCGTAAATATGGCTGCTGTGTATTGGTCTCGAGGCAAAAATATCGATATCGTGCAAGAAAATAAGTTCAGATGCTGCATGTATATTGAGAATGGGGCAGTCAATCATTATTCGTAACAGTATCATATTACCACGAAAAAAACACATTCAAGTAGGGGCTAGTACTGTCTTTCAGCGACGTAACAGCACATAAGCTTGTTAAATAAAAAAAAAATGCTAAAAATAACGAAAATTTTTTCCGAACAAGCTGATATAAGTGAGAGGCGCTATAAAAACTGAAGATTTAGGCTGCGTTCTCGCAAATTTCGTCTGCGGTTGTAAGGAGGCGATAAGTTTACTACATTGACTGACTATGAAGTTTTCGCTTGTTATCGCTCTCGTGGTGGGAATCATTCATTCTCAAGAAGGTTAGTTGATGGTACTTTAAAGAAGGTTTAGTTAACAAGCCAAAATTTAAACTAAAGCTCCGAAAATCTTCTCAACTGATTGATAATAGACTTTCGGAGTCCAAGTTTCATTGTTCAGAGTTCAAGCGGTCGGCGAAATGGTATCGTTTCGCATGAGGACAAAATAATCGTTAAAATTAGTAACTAGCCTACTGCGATTTTTTTCCCGATGGGAAAAGCCTTTTCTTATTCCGTTTTAATTGAATAAAATGTTTGATTATAAAAGAAAAAAAAACATTAGATATGACTATTCTTGTTCAAATGCCAGAACCAAATAGATATTCCCTGAGTATGCTATACTGGATAAAGCAACGCGAAACAGATAAAATTTTTGACTAAATCACGCGTGGTCCTCAATGCTAAGGAAAATTAATCTCGAAACATTACAACAATGCAAGTATATTTGTCGTAAGCTCAGTAAATTTTTGTAATTCTAGTCGTCAGGCCATAATCAATCTCCGACTAGAAGACAACTCAGCTCTTTTTTCTTTTTTTAAAAAAAAAAAAAACTAAGTTTTTCATCTCATCATTTTATTCTTTTTAGTTCTCGGCTGTGGTGGTGGTCGTCGAGGTGGCCGTGGCGGTGGCCGTGGAGGTGGTGGTAGAGGCTCCCCACCTCCACCACCGCTGCCTCCACCACGCGGCGGCGGCGGTGTTGGTGGTAAGTAATTTCCACTTAGTTTCTCGGTTTTAAACTGCGAACGAAAACGAAAACGAAAACAGCAACTTTGAGAACCGTTTTTTTTTTCCAATGGAACAGTAATCAGCGGCAACATAGCAAAATGACTTGTCTTAAGTGAAAAACCTATGTTACGGTTGACCTGCACCTCTTTGAAACGTTACTTTGATTCGTTTTTGTTCATCTGCACCTCTTTTATTGATAGCGCTAGGGGAAATGTTTGTTTTGTTTACCTATTGTTTAGTTTAGCCAATTATAAATAATCTTGAAAACGGTCCAAGTCGCTCCCTTGCCAAGATCAATGCCTTAAAGAAACTTTTTAATGATCTGTTATTCTCTGATTTCCTAAAAGCTTTAAAGTGCACCTAGCCCACGTCTACCCTGGAAGGTTGAATATCTCACGTCCTCTCATTTCCTTCAGGATGGTGCACTACACATTCGAAAAGTGCTCAGAAACGCCTTCCAGAAGTGCTATCGGCTTTTGCAGCAATATCCCAGATATAAAGAAAGATATACTGTACAATTTACTGGCGATGAGCGGTCAATGCTACAAGAAAGACGTAAACGGTGGTTAATTTTGTCGAACCGAAACAAGTGAACTGAGTCCGTGAGAACCATTGAAGAACTTTCACTGGAATTTGTTCCGCAGACGTTCAAACGCTATTTTCAAAATTTTCTGCTTAAAGCCAACCAGCAATTTGTAGAATTACTACCAACAACCTATATCTTCCAGTCCCGCAGTATTTATAACATAACTGGCAAAGTCGTGTGATCAATCAAGAAGCGTTACGACCGCTGTACTGATATGTAAATGTAGGTCGCAACTGTACGCCGCCAACCAACGCTTAATTCTATTTCGATTTAGATAAAAGTCAAAGATTAATCCTTAAGAATTACATGATCAAAAAACTGTTAGACTCACAGAGTTTTTCGAAGGTTTGGAAATCAACAGTGCGACAAACATTCTGTGCAATAGTTCGTATTCGTATTCTGTGCAATAGTGTCTATGACCGCGTAACATTATCTGCGGACCGCTTACGGAACACATCCTTTTCGCTTATCCGACGAAAACTGCAAACTTTGAGAAAAATTTACATTGGTTATGTGGAGTTACGACTTAAAACGTGTGACAATGTGAAATCGGTAATTGTATGAAATGTTTCCTTCCGCCTTTGCTTCCCGCAGCTTCAAAAATACAGGTCCA